GATGGCTTCTCTGCTTTGAGCAGTGATACAGGGGATGGACTCTGGGCTTTTTAATCGCCTGTTTAGCATTATCTGCTTGCTTTGCTTCCCTGTGGCACAGGGTGCTGCTGTGCAGGGCTGGCTTTAGCTGCCTCTTAGTGAGACACGAAAAAGGAAAGAAGCCTCAAAAGCACTGACCTAGACTAACCCAGCCCAAGCGATTCTGAGGCTGGGCCCAGCACCTCTGTAAAGATGGAGGCAGTGCACAAACAGGCCAATTCCATGAGAAGTCCCTTAGTCACATCTCCATCCTTGCACCCAAGCTCTTTTGATCAACTGTGGGGAGATTCCTCACTGTGGAGAGAAGGGAGTGCGAAGGTGGCCTTTCTCCTACCACCCTCCCTCTGCAACTGGGATGGGACATGGATATTTGTAGCTAATGATGCAGCTGAGTGCCTCTCCTCCTGGCTCTGCTGTCATCTTCACTCTGTCCTTGAAGGTGTGTTCAAGAGAGCTGTGAACCCTTGGCTACCTTCCTGCTGCCACTTGATCTGTCCAAGACCTCTGGTTGTTTCCCCTCATTATTTAGGCCCATCCTAGCAAAGCAGGGAATAATGTTACCTCCTCATTTTAAAAGTCAGCCTTTGTCCTTGTCAGACCTTCAACTGTGTAAAAGTCATATAGGCACAAGGTCTGTGCTGATTCCTTTTAGCAACCATCTGCCACCCAGCCTCCATTATTTCACTCATTGTCTATCTCTCTATCAGTGTCCTGCATTTAGAGCTGTTTCCTTGCAGTCTTCTAGACCCAAGTGCTTTGCCAAGACAGCTCAGTTGTAATCCACAGCTTCTTGATTGCAGTACTAGGCTGTGATCTAGCTCTCTAGACAAACACTGCCTTCGCCTGGTACCCTTCTCTCTCCATTCTGAATTGCAGTCCAGTGTGGCTTTGCCCTCAAAAAGTAATACATCTCTTGGATTCAGGCACTTTCAGCAGAATATGTAGTTCTCCTGCAATGCTGAATTAAGGAATCTTCAAGACTTCTGAAAACAAGAATTAATAACATCCAAACATTCTGCATCTGACAAAATACTACAAAAAGGTGCTGATAGCCTAAAAAGCCTAGGTCTGCAGAGAGGAGCATTTCTTAATCCATTACTCTTTACACTATAAATGTCAACTTAATGAGAAAGTGAAGCTGGAGTTGTACAACACTCCAGGATGTATTCTGCTCATTAAGTGTGAGTGATCTATGCAACTGTAAAATGGTGCTAAAACTGAATTCCCATTAGGATATCAGGGACTGACAACTGTGCAGTAAAGTCATGCTGGTCCCTGCTGTAGAAATCTTATCTAGCTTTTGAGTTTTTAATTTTAAAACCCCCAGTAAATCCCCCAAGAGCTTGACTTCCCTGTTTGAGCAGGCAGCCAACCCAAGCAGGGTCAGCTGCAAGGTGGGATGCAGGATGTTGACTGGAAACTGCAGATCTGTGGTAGGATTTTGCAGGAAAGGAGAATAGAACTCTCTGCTTTCAGTGTGGCAAACCTGTCCGACTATCACCTGGGCAGCTGAAATAGTCTCTTTGGGTGGCCGCACAGCTGACACTGCTATTGTTCAATGCAGGCAGCCATTCTGGAGAACCCACTAGCATGGATGCGGAGGGCAAACTGCCTCCCAGCATCACCTTTGACAGTTAATCAAGAAGAGAAACCAGACGTGGCCTAGGCTGGATCTCTCCTTGCTTCATCTGCTGTTGCATTAAGTCCACTGTGCTGCAATAAGCTTTTTCCTTCCCCGTTTCTGTATAGCCTCTGCGTCTGGCCTGGGGCATTCAGCTGATAATAGCATGTGGCCTGACTTCTCTCCCAGATTCAGGGCTTGGTGCTATATTACAGTCACTTCTGTCGGTAGCTCTTCAGAGGAATGGCTAAACAGGATGAACAGCAGCCCACTGTGTCCTGTGCAAGGCACACTGCACCGTTGCTGCAGTCATAGACCTGAGTTGAATACATCAGTGTTTAAGGTGATAGTGGAAGCAGGTTTGTTGTTAAGGAGGTCTAGAGGAATGTATCTGTGTGTCTGGAGGCTCTCATGTTTGATGTTTTGCTGACTTAGTCTATTTGTGAAAATTTAGTATTTGGTTGGGCTCTATAGCATGAATAGCATAAGATTGTTCCTGCTTGATGGAAGTATGATTGGTTTTTAATAGAGTTTACGGTTCCAGATGTCCTGGTGTTGCTGTGTATCAAAACAGGAGCGCCTGAAGAAATGTATCTTATTCTTTCTGCTTTGAGTTGTGGCTCAGGTTTGCTGGATCAGTTGCTGGATGTTTTGGGTCCCACTGAGAGTAGATGGGGATGAACTACAGGTAGTTTGTTTCTGACCTGCTGGTTCGCTCTTTGGCGGTGGAGAAGAACACCTGATGTGTGATATAGCTCCAGTATTGCAGGTCCCCTTTCCTTCTCCCATACCACATCTCCATAATGGCCCAAACGTAATTAAAACCTGGCAGGGCAGATGCTCTAAGCTCTCTGTATGGCTGGTCTTGTTAATTATCTCCTGGACCTATCTGACATGCTGCCAGAAAGCAGAAATCACATTTTGGAAGAGAACAAGGGAGTACTGCATCAGGTCTGTGAAAGCCAGAAGCCAAAGCCCAGGAGACTGCAAAAGCGAGCGAAGAATTCAGTTCCTAAATGTGGTCTCCATGCACTGATTCCTCTCTGCTGTCCCAAGTCCCCACTGGATTTTAGAAATGCTCTCAAAGTATTGCTGCTACACCTTGCTCCTTACGGGACCTTGAAGGCAGGAAGGGTGCAAGCCAAGGGCACAGGTTCAGGGACAGAGATTTTAGTAAAATAGTCTCACTTGCAGACAGAGGGAAGTGGAGAATTCAGATCAGGTAAAAGCAGCCTGCCTGGACAAAATTATGCCCTGGTATCTCCAACTGAAGCAGCTATTTCTTGCCTTCCTGCTACTGGCAACTTCCATTTTCTTGCAGCAGCCTCGGATGCCAACTCTGCAGGTGCTTTTTGCTGCAAACTAGTTCTTCTCCAGTCTTGAAAAAGGAATCTCTGCTGTTTAATATTTAATCAAAATTATTTTGTGCCTTATGTAACACCTTGCAGCGAGGCCTGGCTGCCAGGCGGGGCTACCTGTTTTAGACCTATATTTCCCTCCATCGCGCATTGCCTTGGTGCCCTCTCCCTGCTTGTGCTCACAGATGCTCTGTAACCGGCCAGTACTTTGGGGCTGACCCCTCTGTGTGGGATTTGGGCTCATGGGGCCCAGAGCTCTTTCTCTGGCCACAGACCTGCTCTCTGTGTCGTTAGTAAGTGATGAGTTTGCAGCAGGCAGTCCGTTGCTCTCCCTGGGCTGTGCAATCAGAAAGGGTACCTCCAGTTTGACTCTCCAACTGGAGGAGAGGTTTATTCTACCTGCAAACAGGAGTGTGGGGGCAGAGGGTTGAGTTAGGTAGCAGCAGGGAGGGATTTCTCACTTGGGAGACCAGAATGAGGACAGGTTTCAGAAAAAGGGAGCTTGGAAAGGAATGGAGACAGCCACCCTCTCTAGAGCTCTCCCTGTCTCCATAACTTCTTATCGTTAAGCCTCTCTTCTACGTCTTGGGAGGGGACGGGGATGAGGTCAGACCTGCTCTCTGCATCCTGCATCTCCAGTGCTCTGCAGGATCCCATAGGGGAAAATGTCATCTGAGTGGGTCTGGAAAAGGACTTGCTCAGCTCTGGTCCCTCGGTCTTGTTCCGTGCTGTGGCTCCCACCTGCAAACTGGCATGAACAGTCCTGCACTGTGGGGTGGTGGGGATGAGAGCACTGAGAGTCCCAGGGGGCTCAGATTCAGTGGCAAAGTGGGGCTACAGGTATGAGAGGCAGATGGCCTGGAAATCATGGTATTAGGGATTTTATTCCTTAAGATGCACTAGGGACCTACCTTGGAGACAGAGCAAAAGGTACGGTGGAAATGTCAATTCCCACGGGGGATTTTAAGTTGCTGGCACATGCATCAAAGACTCTGAAGGTCTCAGGAAAGCCCAGGGCCATTCTCATTGTGCTGCTATTTTTCACGTTTCTTTTTACCCAATCCTGCGCTTATTCCTGTGAAGTTAATGGAGCTGACATGAGCTCCTCTTTTCTTAGTCACTTCTGTCTTCTTTTCAGCACTGGTGATCTGTGTCACAGGAACAGACTTTGCTCAAAGAAAATGAGGAGAGAGGGGTGAATTTGAAAGAAATAGGGATTGCTCTTTATCTGGTTAGAAAAGCCAGCAAGTGCCAAGGAAAGAACAAGTGTTGATGTCTGAATAGGTTTGTAGCAGTGGAAAGCAGCTGCCATCCAGTAGCTGTCTGTGGCCAATGTGTCTTGAGTCAGGTTCCCTGCGTGTAAGGTGCTCTGCATCATCTTTGGTCCAGGCAGAGAAGTGGGAGGTAAGTAAGGACGGTCACTTCTCTGCCAGCCCCACCCCCCCCGCCCCAAAGTGGTTCCTACTCAATGCGGTGATCAGTTTGTGGTAGTGCCTCATAGTGGGAGACTTCCTGCAGGCAAGGAAGTTATCCTGGGATAGACAAGGACAATGAGGAATGCAGAGCTGGGGGCTGGCTCAGCTCGGTGCATGGGTGTGTGTATCTGTAAGGCTGCCAGCTTTGACCATGCTCCTAGGGCCAAACACCCTGCAAGCCCTGCCGGGAGGGTTATCTGTGCTGTGCAATCAACGTTTCGGTGGGATTGATTTCAATGCACTTGGGAGAGGTTGAGGAACTGTAAGACCACATAAAAAGCAGTAAACAGCAAACCAGATCGAGCAGAGGGGTGTTGGCGCTGACCTTCTGCTGTCTGACTGAGGTTTTCTAAGAGACTGAGCAGAGGCTGCCATGCAGGTTTTCAGCCCTGCCTTCCTCTGAGAAGGGCAGTAGTGGCAGACTGGGATGGTGCTTGGCTGCAGCATAGTTTTGCCTGGCAGATCCCCCTCTATGCCCATTCCCACTGTCCCTGCCAGGCTGCTTACCACACTTGGGACTTCCTCCGGGGCATGCCGTGCCGGTGCCATTTTGAGTGGGGAGTTAGGTGGTAAATCAGCTGCCTGCAGATCCTGTCAGAGGATTTCCAGGGGTCATATTCCTGAAAGCAAAGGGACAGCTTAGCCTCTGTGTACAGCACAGCAGAACAGGAGGCAAGGGGGGAAGACAGAGGAATATGGGAAAGGAACAGAGGTAGCAGTGGAGGAGGGAAATGTATATAGGGAAGAAGATGAAGAGAAGAGGAAAAGAGGATGAAAGAGAAATGGTGAGAAATCATGAGATGCTTCTGTTGCCTCTGGGTTTATTTTTGCACATGTTCTCTACCACCATGACTTTGAATGGCACCTCTCTTCCTCTGGTGAAGCAGAATGCCAAACGGCAGCTGCTGAAGGCTGGGATTTCTGCCCTCTCTATCATATTTTCCAAATGCTGACAGACACCTGCATTCCCATTTGTCAGCCCTCCAGCCGTGGTGAAACGTGTGCATTTAGGGATTTGATAGGTAAACATATAGTAAAGCTGTCAGGGAATATGCTAATTTATTCTTCATTGCAAGCAGTTAAAGTGCTGTACTGTGGGCCTACAGCTGCACTGTGGCGTTCCTAAGCAGTCACTGAATCAGCTGAACTCCCCAGGGGTGCGCTGCCAGCGTGTGTCCATTCTGCTGTGCCAGGTGCTCAGCCGAGCACTCCAATCCCTGTCCCAGTTCCCCTAGGAATCCCACAGGGACTGGCCCTTGCCCTTGGGTTAGGTGCCTTGTTCTAGACTACTACTGTGCTTGCAAGGCAGCAACTGGCACCCTGCTGTAACCTAGAACAGCAAACCTTTGAAGTGGTTGCACATGTACACCAGCCTTCAGCACAGGAGCTGGTACAATGCTCTGCAAGTGTGTGTTGGCTCACAACTGAGAATTACCCTCCTGTTCCTTCCCGTGTCCTCACTGATTTAATTTCCACTGACAGACTGGGAATTGCACTCAGCCTGCTGGCCTGTAATGCAGTTAACACCCACCAGATGCTCAGCCAGGGTCAGAGAGGGGACATGGTCTGCCAATGTTTGTGCTGGGAAGGGTGCTGGTGCTGTAGGGTGCTGAGTCTCTCCAACCCCTTAATTAAACTCCTTTTGGCTTTGAGGGGCAGCTCAGGTGCTCAACATCTTCCTAAGGAAGCAGTAAAATCTTACCTATATAATGCTACAAGTGTCAGTGCAGATAAGCATGTGCATCTATAAGACATAAAAATAGAGAAGGGGGTGGTATATGCAGGTATATAAAAATTGTAGTGTGTTATCTGCTAGGCACCTGGGTACTGGAGTAATGGTCCCTCATGCTGCCTCCCTGCAAGGCATTGTACAGCATGAAGTTGGAGATGGTCTGGTAGAACAGCTGGAGATGAGGTCAAGTGAAATATGGTTAAGAAGTACTACTGCTGCAACCCAACCCCTTCCTTTTGAGATGCTTGTAAAATTTCCACCAAAATTACCCTTGAGGAGAAGATTTTTCAGGCTGCATTGCAGCCCAATGATGACTAAACTTTGGCTCAACGTAGTTTGGCTATTGAGACCTGATGGTTAATTGTTATCGGAGAGCCTCAGGAGGTAGCGGAACAAGGTTAGAAATCCCACTAACCTACACCAAGCATTCAAGGTATTCCCTAGGGTGCAGTTGTGAGCTGTGTGTACTTAATATCTCTCTTTGAATAAAGAAATTCACTCTATTGCTCACCTTAAAGCAAACATGACACTTGCCAAGCCTGATGAGCAAATGGATGTATTGCAAATCCAAGTATTTGTGGTGGCAAAGGGTAACAGAAGTAGATGCTGGTGTTGCAGTAGGACTGTGGTATCTGTGATATTTGTCTGCACTCAGCCTTGCCTTTTTTTGCCTCTGCTCTCCTCATTCTCTGAAAGTAAGTGCTGGAGCAGAGCAGGGACACTGTGCACTTAACATGCTTGCTTCTTGAACCCTGAATTGCATTATATTCCTACAGCACCATTCTTTACTCAGAGATCTGGGAGGTTATAGGGGGAGTGTAATTCTGGGTTAGGGCCACTGCATATGGCAAAGGGCCCAGGAAGAGAGAGAGGTTCTTGTCCTCCTCCTACAGAGGCACCAGTTTGGGCAGAGGTGCAGAGATCTCTGTTCCCCTCTGCAGCCCCATAAGCTAGCTGCTTTGAACCTCTGGGGCGTACCAGTGAATATGGCACCCCCATCTGTGCCATGTATTTTTACCTGGCCTGTACCCTGTCTCCAAGCTTACTATTGGTGCAAAATAAATTCTTTATTTCTATGCACATAACCACTCCCTCCTTCAGCTGCATTCATGTTCTGGGGTAGTTTTAACTGTTTCCTACAGAAATATACACAATATTCTGTATGCCACCACTCCAAGGGTGTACACTGGCTGGTTCTGAAGGATTGCAGAGCACCACCCAGAACCAGTCACCTCATTAAGGCTCTCTTTGCATCAGTGCTCTGTCACAAAATGTCCATTGAGCTGAGGGAGAGGTTCACCTTTTTGGGACACTGCAGATCTCTAGCAAGGCTCATTAGCAAGTCATGGGAGATGGGATCCACCAAGTTGAGGAAGGTCGCATTTTTGTAGAGCACTTCATTGAGGAATGTTCCTTCGAGTCCCAGGTCCTATAAGAAAAACGAGGTCAGTCAGATACACAGGCTCCCTTGGAGCTATAACCATGAGGTGTTTTGAAACCAGAAAGTAAATCCCATGAGGTGCCAGCTGGTTGCTCAATACAGGAAACTGTCCAACAAAGGCGAAGCAGCTGTGTCTGGCCCAGCATTGCTGTGATGGGGGATGTGGACAGCTAGAGAGCTGAATGAGATGCAGTGTTAAACTGAGATAGTCAGCCTAGGTACTGACCGCCTTGTTTCCACCTACCACAGGAAGGCAGGAGTGATGCAATTTCCAGGCTGGCTAGAGCCCAGAGAGAATTAGCTTCAGAGAAACTTACAGTTTTGTCAGCTTCTAGCTACTGAAGGAGCCAAGCAGGAAGGCTGGCTCTAAACCTGCTTCTCCAATCTCAGCTTTTCTAGAAGAATTAAACCTTTCCCAGATACTTAGATACTGCCTTACACCCTGTCTGGCTGACTAGAAGCTCTGCCCATCAGTATGAATTTAGCTGTGCTTTGAATTTCTCGGTAAGTGCTGACAGCATTGTCTTTTGGTTGTAATGGTAAATGTAGAGGTAGCTCTATGCAACAGTCATGGGGAGTCCTCTTCCCATCTTCCACAGCGTGAGCTAGGGGATCATCTGTGGTCCATGCAACTTACCGGCATGGACCAGGATATGGGGCACCTTTGGACATGCTGGAAGAAACCTCAGCATCCTTGGGAACAAAAACCCTCCCAGGGGCCAGATGGGTGATACTGCAAAGAATTAAGCTGTTTCTTGCTAAGAGGAAAGCTAAGAGCTAATATATGACACAGTTATTACAATCATGATGTACCACAGAGCTGTGGAAAGAAAAAAAAGGCATCTGGGAATGTCTTTCACATACTCACATGAAAATACCCCCCAAGGGCAGAAAAAAATTACCCCAGGAGTAGAAACATAGAACCAAAAAGCTCCCTACTAGGGATAGCACTGGGTCTGCCCATTCTGCATGCTGCTGCTGGGAGAAATGAATAAGCAAATGGGTGCCCCATATGTTTGCGCTGCTCCACTGAATGTGTGCTTCAGGCATCACCCAGTGAAAGATGCACTGAGAGCTTAAAAAAAAAAAAAAAGGGGGGGGGGAAGCTGGGTATATACACACACATCACCAGCAGGGATGGAGCCACAGCTGTCAGAGGTGTGGGATCTTAACCCTAAGCAGCAAAGCCGGTGCTGTATCCATTCTCTCCTGCTCTGGATATGCTTGCATCGAGCAGAGAGCGTAATACCAAAGAGACTCTCTGGTGAAGAAAGGGAGAATAAATCAGATGCTTTACAGCCCCATTGCTGTTCACAGATGATACCCACAAGCAACCGGGGATCCCAAGCAGTGGATTGGTCCTGAAGGACAGACAACCACAGCTGGATGTCAGCCAGAAGCATACGAAGGCATCATGCCAATGTCTCCCTTAACTGCAAGGCTTCAGGGAAATGGAGCCTCCTACGCCAAGTGTAATAGGCACAGATGAAGAAAGCTGCCGAGAGGATGGCATGGCTGGGCATGCAGCAGTGGATGTCAGAGCAGTAATTAAACTCCCCCAATTGGAGCTGTACCATTAAGATGAATCTGCATTCCCATTATAAATCCTGCCTGTGAGGGTTTTATAAATAATATAGCTGTAAATATTCACTTCACCTTGATAGTCCATAAATTCTTAGCCCAGGGACATCTGGTTCATCTTGCTTGTTTTTTTTCCCCCCTCTCTCTTTCTCTCTCATTTCATGGAAAATTTGGTACCATCTAAAGGGAAAGGGTTGCTACAAACAGCAGCATTGTAAGTCTTGCTAGTTCAGTTGGCTTAGTGCTGTTATCTTAAAAATGACACTTGGCCATTGTTTCAGCACAGGGAAATCAGATTGTACCAGACTTTTTGCTGGTGTAAGCCTAATGTCTCCCCTGGCTTCAGCTGAGTGATGCCCACTTAGATTAGCAGGAAAGCTGGTCTGTCTTTTGCAAGTGGGTCTTTCAGAGACTGGTAAGATGATGTCCAAAGGCGCTGTCCAACTGTTCCTGTACAAAGCAAATATACACCTGTGATTTGCAGTTGTTCCCTGTGCAGTCTTCTAAGATGCTGGGATCTTGCATCTCTGTTAGTGGATCTGTTCTGTCTGGCTTGCTTTCTTTACTTTATTACACCCTCCTGACAACCTAGGAGCAGTCCACAGCTCTTTGTGGTCTGCAGACCACAGGTCAAAAAGCACCAGCAGATACAATTACATCCTGCAGGGTGCATCTGCAGGGCTGGACAAGGTCTGTGTCTGCTGGGAGCAGCAGGCAGCATGCACCAGGAGCCTGTGTCCTCCGGTCTGGCTGAGCATATCTGCTTATTTGGGGAGGCTGCAATTCCAGTCCCACCATTGCTCTGCCTTCTCAGGCTCTACCCTGGCCCAAGGCGCAGTGATGAGGTATGGTGTTAAATATGCTCACGCTCCCCTAGAGTGAATAAGGTATCTCTCTTTCTACAGGTGACAAACGGACCCTCACCCAGGACACATTAATCCGTGACTCCTGAGAGCGTGTTACTGCCAAGGTAAGCTAGTCTGTGTAAGGAAGGACATGCTGGGGACCAAACTTAGGGCTGAATTTAGTTGAGGAGTGAGGGAAATTTGTAAATGAGAAAAAAGGCTGATCACAGTACTCTTTGAAGCTGACACTGGACATGTGAAGAGGACAGGTTCTGATTACATGACCCCAGGCTGGCTGACAGTTGTGTTTAGATGTTGAAGGGTATGGTATGTGTTAGTGGTGTAGCCCTCTGTGTCTGAAACCTCTGAGCACACAAAGAACCAGAGGCTTTGGGGTGGTGATGGATGGGTTCTTGTCTTACTTTGCAGAGGGGGGCTCTGTTGTGACCACAGGATGCATGACCCACTGCTCTGTCGTGAGCAGATGAACAGAGGGTCACTGTTTCAACATGGACAGGCAGAGATGGGGACCAGGCATAACATTCCCCTGTGGAAAGGCAGTAGACAAAATGTGAGTGTTCAGGAATGATAATTCTCAGTGCAGATGTGTGGAAGCTTAGCTGATCCTGAAACAAGATGGCAGGCTGCATTGAAAGGAGGGTGTACAAATGACCCTCCATTCCAGATGGCCCCATGACTTAGCATTCAAACCCTGCTGTTCACAGATGGACCTTTGGAGACCTCCAGGGTCTGTGGGGGATTTCAGTGCTTCAGTCTCAAGGAGAGGTGCTGAGCACTATAGAAAATGACATTCTGTAGTTCTGGCCTCTGGCATACCCTACAAAAGTCTGTTCATGTTATATTACCATGTTCATGAAGTGAGTGGTTGCTTCTTTTTCTTCACAAGCTTCTTGTAATAGTGCCTTTCCAAAACTGCCTTTGAATCTTATTCAACTCTTGCCTGCCACACTGGTGCACACATACAGGCTTTCTGCTGAGGGTTTATCTGTCTACATGCATGGCAAGAAGAGTCTTTGCAGTGCTAGTAATGATCCTCATGTGAACACTAAGGCAGTGCACAGGAAAAGTAGAGAATGTAATTTCTGGTCCTGGAAATTCTTACTCATGAGTGTGTAACTTGCTGGTAGCCCAGGGCATTGACCACCACTGTTAGATGTGTTGTAAAACCCAGGACATTCAGAGCAGGGACAGGGTTGTTAATGCAGCTTCCTGATAGCACAGCTGTATAAGCATCCCAGCAAGCCAGTCCCTGTTCCCAGGTACTCACGCCCAAAGGTTACTTGCCGCTATGGCAAGAAACCCTGTATTGTTCCCAAGATGAAGTAGGTTATTATCTAATGAAGCAACATGATAAGCTAAGAACTGATGGTGTTTTATGCCCAAATCAGAGGGAGGATTTGTCTCATGTGCTATTGATTGCAGGTTTGTCTGCAGTTTGCGGGAGCTGAGTGTGCCTGGAAAGTGAGGGTAGCACTGAGCGATGGAGGCAATGGCTCTGTTCCAGCAGCAGGGCTCTGTCCTCAGCATCAGTTTGGCACCACGCTGTCTGCACACTGGTTTTTCTGTTCCTGAATGGCGGCAGACAGAAACAAGCTCCCACTGATACACTGACCCCTTTACCTCTCCCCTCAGCCTAGGCTGTCCCAGAGGTCCTCTCCAAAACCATTTTGGGTGCTCACAAAAGTCAGATTTTGGCCAGCCTGGCTGGGCAGGTGCAGTGGGATGGCAGTAGCTCTTCTCTGGGGGGCACCAATCCTAAGCATACCCAGGGGGCTGCCATGGAGGGGTGCAGATGGGGACAGCTGGGGCCTGGACACCCCTTTTCCCTGCGTGCAGCACAGCCCTCCTCCCAGCTGCACCCCCCCAGCAGTC